TCATGCTTTCTGTACAAACTCAGCTACTTTAATCAATTACATATTCAACTTTCATCTTGATTCAATGCCTCGTACATGGCGATGCCTTTGTAGTTCCCATAAACATTCATTTGGCGACATATTTGCTAAGCGTCAACCTACTTTAGCCCCAAAACGCAGTCGCAGTTGCATTTACAGGTCTCTCTCTTCTAATGATGCGGCTGGGGTAACTGTTGCAATTTTAATGACAACCTTTTATCGTGCATGTGGTTGTTGTCATCTTTCATTAAAAGACGTCGCCCAGTCTGGGGGGCACACACAAACGCATACACAGAGTTTCTCTTTTCTTTATCAGTAGATGTAAGTCGCTTTGCTGCGAGTCGTATTTGTTTATGTTTCGTTTCACTTTTGCTAAGCACAAGCGCTTACATTTTTGTTTCCTTCCTTTTATTTATTTTTTTTTTTCGCTTGGCCCCATTTAAGACCCGAGGCACTCACTGAAAGTGCATTGAATTAGAAGTTTTAGATCTGCCATGACTTACTTTCGCGTTTACCAACACTTAAAGTCACTTTGTTTTGCCCGTGCCAAAGGCAAGGCTTTCTTCGTTAATTTTGAAACTAATTCGAAATGAATTTTGCCTCATGCCATTAAAAATTATGCATGTTACACAGGGCCCCCAACTTTGCTCACCTGCTCCAAGAAATTTATCACAAATTGCACAAATTGAATTGCGAGTGAGTGAGGAGTGAAGGGAGTCCTGTGAGTCTTGAGACACGGCTCAAACAGTTGACAGCGAATGTCGCTTGCACTTTGGCCAAAAAGGTGTCGCAAATCAAATTTCAATATGGCAAAAATTACGTTTGGCAACGCAAATTGAAACATTTTCGTTGCGGTTAAGCGGCGACAGGTGCTATTTACCTGCAGTAGCAGGAGCAGCAGCTTCGTCTCCTCTCGCTCTTGCTCTCGCTCTCGCTCTGGGGCTTCAAATGTTGATTATGTTATTTACCCATGAAAATTGCATTTGATGTGACGATGGCAACGGATGTTCGTTTATTTGTTGAGGCTCAAACGCTGCGTACTCATGCCCAGGCACAAGCCCAATTCCAGCTACTACTACAGTTCCAATTGCAGCCCACACACGTACACACACACACACACACACACAGCCTTCAGTCAGTCACAAATCCCATGTAAATGCGTTGCTCAAGTCGCAAAAATGTTCTAAATTTATGCGCTGCGGCGTTTGATGCAGGAGGATTCAAGGCAGGGCAGGGCTATAGGCGTGTGGGTGCTGGAAAAGTGGGGCGTGGCAACTAAAGGATGGCAATTGCGTCCATCCATCAAGAGCATCACTCAGTTTTGACATATCATTGGAAATCTAAGGCCTCATCATCTGTGACGTTTCATTAACCTACACAAATCCCATTAAAGTAAAGGCGAGAGGGAGGGCCAGAGGGCCAGAGGGTGTGCTTATATGAGTGTGTGTGTGTGCTTGGTATGAGGTGTTAATATCAACAAGCAAGTTGCTGCTACGCAATCTACCGATTTCCGCTTAACCAAGCCAAACATTGCATTTTTGATTACGAACCGAAGGCTGAAAGCTGACGGCTGAAGGCTGAGACTGAGGGCTGAAGGCTGAAGGCTGAAGGCTGAGGGCTGAGGGCTGAGGGCTGAAGGCTGAAGGCGACCCTAAGCCGTTGCCCGAAAATCCGGTAAATGTTTGCCGCAGGCAAAACCAGAAAACACGAAAGGAATCTGTTGCCACAAAGGGGCGTGGCCGGGCCACTGCCGTCGCTGCCGTAGCTGTTGTTGTCGTTGACGCCGGGGTGGCACAGACGACTGTTTAATATGCTGGATGGGGAGAAGGGGGGCGCAGCTAAGGGCAGTCGCACAGCGCTTATGATCGATAGCAGCTAAATAATGAGGGGCAAAAACTTATTATTTCGTCCAGCAAAAATAAAGATGAAGCAAAGAAAATATACAAATAAAAATGGGTGAGCAAAAAAAAAGAAAAATGCAGGTATAATATAAAATAATATTTACCTAAGCTACAACATATAAATGTGCAAGAAAAAATAAATATTTAT